CAAGCTCTTTTGGAATTCCAGTATATGTACTTTTTCAAGTTAAAAAAAACTTCTTTTTTTGTCACTATCAAATACATATTTTTTTTACACTTTTTTATTACTTTGTTGTAAAATGGTAATAGACAAATATATACTTTTGTAAAAATTTGAACAGGTTTTGATACAAGAAAGTGACAAATAAACTGTATTACATTTTATGTATAAATTGTGTTTAAGTGTGGTGACCAAGAGCTACATCACAGAATATTGTGAAGGCCATGTACAGTTTATTCCAGGTTTCAACGTCCTACATATACACCAAGAAAATGTATGATTACGTGGCAACTTATATGAGAAAACCTTTGGGCTTAAAATATTAGTACATGTACAACTTCTCTATATACTATTAAACTCTATCCTTCAGGTTTCTCATGTTTTCTATCATCTCACCGATAATAATGCTGTGCTTTTTACTTTCATTAATGAAAGATAGTTAAAAATGTACCCTCACACACACACACTCATACTATGGTATTAACACTGCACATTATGAAACACAAAACAGATGGTACGCTGTTTCTCGTTTATCTTACACTTGCAGTAAATAAAATGTTGAAAAAACTTGTAAGCCTTAGTAAATTAATGATGACTTTCATTTCAATATTAGGTTGTTACTGACCTACTATATAACATAATTAACTGTACAGTCCAAGGAAAAAAATGTTATTTGTGATTAATTATAATTCTCTTAAGATTTGCACATGACAGAGCCAAAGGCTAAAATGTCATTCAGCCTTTCAACCTCGTACAAATGTATGATAATGCATGCAGAAAAGAAAATGCTAGGACTGATAGTATAAGGCAACAATGGTAAGCATTTCTACAAAGTGAATGATTATAAAAGATTTTTCCCCTGTATGTTAATACTCGCGACTCGATCACAAACAGTTAAGTAATACAGATGTATCATATAATACAAAATACATAGGTGGTAAATAATAAACTTTTCCATCCAATGCTTCTGTTATTATTCTAGATTATCTATAAGTATGAACTCTCAATAAATAAATAAAATCCTTATGGTAAGTTTGTAGAGATGGGATATCAGTTGTTGTTATGGTTTGTAAATACATCACCACCTACATCTAACCACCAGTTAGTTACTATTTGTTTGTATAATTCTTATTTATTAGGTACTAATTACTTTTTAGCTTATAACCTATGTTTTGGCTGCTAACCTGCTGCCCTCTTTGAGGACTTGCCTTTCAAGCAAGAAGACCCTGGATTGAGTCCCAGCTCTTGCCACCACATACAGTCCTTTTAATGACTCCCCTGAAAACGTAGGATATAAGCTGAATAGTAATTACCATGTAATAAAGAAACATCAACCAATTGGGAATTAAATTCAGGTGAACATACGTAGGGTACAAACCATGACAATGAGAACCATTTCAACTATAATCAGTTAGAAATAATTTTTTTTCTTACAATGAAAAAAAGAAATTCCTCAAAGATAAGCCAAATACAAATTGAGATTCAAAAAAATCACTACAGATTTGTGTGAGTAAAATATTAAAATGATACGTACATGGAAATTATAACTCAAATTTCCCAACTTCTTTTGCAATTAAAGTAAAGTGTTATAAGATTGCCTTTATTTCTCCTTTAATTTCACATTTCATTTGTAATCATTTTGTTTGATTTTAAATCAAAACGTAGAGAGGCTTAACTATAACAACTATTCTACTAATATTACTGATTTTTATTAAATATGTAGAGATCAAGTGTCCAAATTTTGGCTTCAGATTTAAGATTACTGATTAAAGCAGTAATTTTAAATCTGTTTAATTTCAGTACTTAGTGCAGTCTAATGATAAAAAAATAACAACAGCATCATTAAACAGGATAAAATATAAACATGCTGAATTTAAACAAAACTTAATCAAGAAAAAGTAGGCTCAGGTACTCACACATCACTCAATGTTATTTTTTTATTTTATGAAACGTGATATTATTGCTTGAAATATGAATCGACTTTAGTTGATTTAAGTTCTTAAAATACGTTAACAGTATACAAATTTGTTGTGACAACTACTTATTATCCATTGTTTTGTGAAGTACAAAACATTTAAATGCAGATATTAACCATATCAAACAGATTAATTCATTATCTGATAAAATGCTAACAACTTATAATTTCCAAATATAAATCAATTACATTACTTCATAATATCTTTGGCATTTTATATGTTTTAATATTGCTTAACAAACTACAAAAGAAACAGGATCTTGTTTTCTGTTAAATAACCAAATTTTGGGGAACGAGCAAATTCAATGGGATGTCACAGTTATACAATATATATAGAGAAAACATATACTTATATTATACTGATTTATTTTAATTGTATAAATCTTTCTGTAATTAGAACTGTTTAAGGAAGTGAATCCGTAATGCTACTAAAACCTGTAACTATACCATCGTACTATTTGGTTATACACTTCTATTTGGACAGTTGAAGTAATTTTGCTGAGGTTGTCTGAAATTCTTTTCCATGTACAAACCTGAAAATCTGTATAATTTTTCAAACCCACTGACCATTATATAGTTTCTTTTCTATTAACATCATAACAGGCCTATTTCAATAATAATTCCTAATATGAATAAAGCTGCATATTTCAATATTATGTAGTATATGTTTACACCTTCTTCTAAGTAACAGATAGAGAGGGTTTTATAATTACACCTTTTTAAAGTAAACCACGAGTTTATTACCCAAATGATTACCCTAGATGCTTACTTAGCAAAAACTTTTACCTACATTAATTTAAAACATTTAATCACTCTGTTCTTCGTACCAACTGACATGCTTCCACATAAAACAAACAAGATCAGCTAAGTACTCAAGCTGACCGACTGGTCAATAATAATAAAAAAAATGGTAGGTATAGCTACAAATAGATGTATCTCTCTGTGGACAATTAGATTTCTATCAACTGCCACTCAAGAGTTTCTTAAATCTGAACTTTTGCTTCGTCTAATATTTTGAAAAGTCTAGAATTAGAAAATTAGAACTACTTTTAAATATTTCTTTTTTCAAAGGTTAAAACTGCTTTTTGAAATTATGACATAGTTCTGTAATTTTTGCTCAAAGACTTGATAGATTGAGATTAATACATTCCAATTATCCATAACAAAAAAAAGCTATAATTGTACTTTTTATAAGTACTGGAATTTTTTTAGCTTCTGAAACATAAATACTTCTACAATCTTCCAAAATATGACATTGGTAAAAATATCTGTATCAATGGTGCATTACAGAAAGCAAACTGTGCTGGGATGCAAAAATATACAAACTTAAGAATCAACACATTTTGAGGCTTAAGGGACAAAAATCACAGTAGTAAGATGATGCAGACAAAGCCCATCAAATTAAGATATGTCGTAGAGATTTTTGAGTTGATAATTTTCTGTCTTGCCATTTGCTGAACTTATCGTACGCTGACTGGAGCATGTCTGTAAGGTGAGATGTTGACTATAATAAAACAAAACATCATATCATCAGAATAACTAAATTCAAATTAAGAATTCTAACTGCAATAAAGAGACGGGTATTAAAATATTTACTTTCACAGACTGTTAGGAAACTAGGGTAGGATCTGAAAGCAAACCATTGTGAAACAGAACAAAATAAAAAGTATTTCTCCTTAATATAAATGTGTTGTTTCAGGCATCTTACAAACTGAATATAAAACTTTTTTTTTATCCTATATTCTATTCTTCTGTCATAAAAGTCAAAATGTTACACCATGAACCTTGAAACAAACAAATTTAAGCTAAATACATGCAGTATTAAATATTTGCAACTCTTAAACTGTTCATTTGTTCATTGTTTGCCCTTTGATTGAATTATTATTTTGATTTTTATGAGCATGAAGCTATAAAAGATACACATAACGAGTGATACTGTTTTTAAAAGTTCACGCAAAGCAACTTGAGGGCTCCTTAATTCTGAGGTGACAAACTAGAGAGAAGGCAACTAGTGAACACCACCTATAACCAATTCCCGAGCTTGTTTGGTTGATTGATTTGTTTTAAGTAAAGCCACTTTGGGCAATCTACTGTGTCCACTGCAGTTAGTTGAACCTCAGATTTTATCAATTTTGTGGTTAGGATACTCTATATGAAATCTGTGGGTTGAGGGCTCAAACTCCATTACTGAACATGCTCCCCCTTTCAGCTGTGGGTGGGTTATAATAAGGTGATGGTCAGTCTCACTACTGGCCCAAACAATGAACCTGTACGAATACATCACAAAAAAAGTATAAATATTTTAATAATTTCAATAATGATTGTAAAATATATTCTTGTATTTCATGGTGATACATTTTTACTGAAATGTAATTTGATAAAAACGAAAAATATTGCTTTAATAACATAAAATTATTGAGCAAGAAATGCCTAAAAATTTACAAAGCTAAATGTACCTCTATACTGTAATGATCCCTTATGAGGTGTTCCTGAAATGGCTGAAGTTTAGCAGAATGGAACCGTTCTAAACTTTCTTTCATTCTAATGACCTATATAAAAAATTCAATAAATTGTACAAACATCTAACCCCTTCTCAAACAAGTAACTTCTATTAGTGTACAAGTTGGATAAAAAAAAATTTGGATAAATAGTTTACTTCTAAAAATATTAATTCCATCTTATACTTGTTCCTACGGTTACTTTACGGTATCTCACTCAATTATTGGTTATTTAAACTACACTGACTGTTTCCCTAAATATTCAAATACTTTCATTTTTATCGAAGCATTTACAAATTATCAGTCATGATATGAAAAATTCCATTTTTTTTATATTTCAGTCTTCATTACCTTTCCATAAAGAGATTAATAAGATTATTAATAATATTATAATATTGAATCCTTACTTTGTCTTCCAATTGAGGAGTTGTTGTAGGAAAACATGACCAGAAATGCCTTAAAAGTTCAAAAAGGGCACTATATAACTGTTTTATTTCTTGTTGTAGGTCATTGGGAACTGTTTCTGTAAAATGAGATAGCAAAATTTTTTATGAAAGTAAAACTGTACATGTTTATTAAAAGACAAAAAATAAAAGACCCAAATACTTTAAAAGATACTTTTATTTCATGAGCAAGAAAAGGTGAAAAAAATTCTGTGTCTTGAAAAAAAAAAGGAAGACTGTTCCATACTATTCAACCATAACTATTTTCATCATTCTGTGTCTCAAAAAAATAAATAGAAAAGACTACATTTCATACTATTCAACCATAACTATTTTCATCATTCTAGTGTCTCAAAAAAAATAAATAAAAGACTACATTTCATACTATTCAACCATAACTATTTTCATCATTCTATGTCTCAAAAAAAATAAATAAAAGACTACATTTCATACTATTCAACCATAACTATTTTCATCATTCTATGTGTCTCAGAAAAAACAACAACTAAGTTTCATACTATTCAACCATAACTATTTTCATCATTCTATGTGTCTCAAAAAAAAAGAAAAGAAAAAGAATACATTTCATACTATTCTAAGCTACATTATTGCACAGTAAATGTAAAGTTGTAATGAAGGCAAACTTAGCTGAATATGTAGAAATGTCTAAATGTGATAATATGGTTTTGAACAAACTAAACATGCGTATTTTAGATCTAAATAAGTCGAAAAAGCCCATAGCAGCTGTACTTAGTGTGATGTTCATTTTTGTTTTTTAGGAAATTACATGCAGGTTAAGTGTTGTTTGCGAGAAATACTTTGCAAATAAAAGAACTAAAGTTGAACTCAAAGCCTGTTGTTACGTGATGACAATGACTTTGTGCCATACACATTGCATTGAAAAGTTTGACTAAGCAAAAAATAGGTTAGTTAATTCTGAATTGAAAAGCCAGTATGCAATTTGGGATCCTTGGACAAAGGCCTTTCTGACAAATTGTCGAATTTGATGGAGAAATTTGTGAGAAAAGTTCCAGAAAGACAAGCAAGTGTCTTATTTATACAGATGTATTTAACTCATCTTGATAAAACCTATTTCCCCTACATTAAAATTACAGGTAAAGTGATTCTGAATGAAAAAGCCAATACACAATCTGGATTCCTCGGACAAAGGCCTCTCTAACAATACGAAATTTGTGGCGTTTGATCTAGAAATTTGCAAGAAAAGTTCCAGACAAGCAAGCATATTATTTGTATAGGTGCAATTAATAAAGGACAGAAATCCCCTACCACAACGAAAATACAATATTGAAATTAGTTGTTTCATTTCTTTATCCAAAACAAAAAAAATGTTTAAAAAATAACAATATTTTTACCTATAAGTGGAATTTGTGATGAACTCTTCATAAGAGCTCCACCTGGTGACAGTTCCCCTAAAGCACTGATAGCTTGAATAGATGTTAATACCTGCACACATAAAAAAAAAAAAATTATAACACACCAGATATTGCAGTTCTGCTTGGCAGTCTTTAAGCTTAAAACATCTATTACATAAGTTTCAAACATGACAGATCCCAAATGTGCCATTTGTTACTTTTTATTTTTCAGTACCTATTTTGTGCAGGTATGGTTCTTAACAAACAAATTTCAATGACCTCTAAACTTACTTTTTAAATTGCAGTGCTTAAATTACAGATTAAGTCTTAAAACACACACAAAAGTTATATGCTTACCTGAGTAAGTTGTGGTTGCCATTGGCTTATTTCTGAGCTAATAAGATTAGCTTTTTGTAGAAGATCATCACTTGAGATATCATCGTGATCTGTGTCAGGAATAGGTCCAGTTAAGTACCTGTCAGATCTGGTTAAGTGAAGTGTACTTCCTTCTGACTGATTACTTTCAACTAAATCTTCATAATATGTTTTTTCCTGCAGCTTTATCTACAGAAATTAACATAGATTCAGAGCAAATTAACATAGATTAACATTAACAATTAACATTAATACTTTCTGATAAGAACAACATGTTGAGCTTCTTGTTTATTATCTCTGGCATTAAATCTGAAACGTAATCTGTCATCTGAAATTTTAGTAGGGATATAAAAGATCATATATCACTTGAAATTTGGCAAAACAAACAAAAAACAGAGAAAATAGAAAACATTTTGATATTTTTTGTTGAAATAATTTGGATTCATATTCTGAAGTTCAGTTTTTATTTCTACTTACTGTTTGAATAAAAAAAAATAAGCCTTTAATATTACATTAAAGTTGAAGTGTTTAAAACACTGTTCATGATCGAGGGTAATAACTTGCAAATCCTATCACTTTACACCGGTAATTCCCGTGGCTTGTGACAATGTATGTTAGAAACCCTGACCTTCTTGTTGCTATTAAATTAACGTATGGTGATCTTCATGTGCAGATGGTGCCTAAAATTAATCCTTTCTGGGTGGGTTACTTTACAGACTTCCCACATAAAGTTCTTCTATTCCATTTTGATAAGAGCAAGAAATGTACAAAAGTGTCAGGATTTTAAAGAAAGAAATATATGTTGAACCATACTGGTAAAGTAAGGGAAGGCATTTTTTTTTTATCAAGGAGGAAACAAACTGAAGAATGTTAAACTGTTTGTTATTGGATGTAACCACAAAATAATGCAGCATATTGCATAAAAAAAAAAGGAATTTCCCTAGGAACTATAAACAAAATAATTCCCATTAATTTAGGTCTGCAAAAGTGTCACAAGCTTCTCTAAAAGCACACAGCCAAATGGAAAAGCAAATGAAAGCATGTTATCCCATTGGACAAAATAATCTGCTGGCTATTGATACCAAATTTCAAAAATAGCAAATAGCATGTTTCAGAAGTTTTAAAGGTTTTTTTTTGTTTAAGCTACACAAGGGCTATATGCTCTAGCAGTCCTTAATCTTAAGCTAATAGTCTAAAGGGAAGGCAGGTAATGAACAGCATCCATCATCACTCTTATGATGCACCCATGGCCCTAAAGTGCAAAGCATAATTTTGTCCTCAGATTCACAGTCCAACTCGTTACCCACTAGGCCATACCCAGTCCTTTTCTAAGGATTTATGGTGGTTTCAAGTTACAGCTACAATATTTAATCATCCACAGAGTCAAGAAATACCAAAGTGATCTCAGCATAACATCAGGTTAACATGCTGACACCACTATACAACATAGAAATACCATCATTATATGGACTGGTTACCAATAAGGTACAACTCCATCAAGATAAACATCCAAATCAACAGGTCAGTTCCTCCAAAAGATAAGTACAAACAGAAATTTATACTATACCATTGGCAGATATTTCCCATGTACATCTGTACCTACGGGTTATTCAAACAGGCCCTCAAAACTTATTGCCCACACGCAGTTGATGGATTTTGGATAGCATGTACAGGGAGAGGGATAACACTGACATACAAAAGCTCCCTGCAGTTCAAACTGTGTTGTAAGTATTCACCTTTTTTTTAATCTTCATTTCTTCATCTCCGTGAACTCCATTACTGATTTCAGATGCTGTTAGCCTTTGGGTAACGGCTCCATTCGGAAGGGAACTGGAAGTTTTTTCAGCAGAAAGCACCCCATTGGCACATGTACGAGTGTTGTTTGTTTCTACTGACTTTTCACTTTCACAGACTCGAAGAACCATCATAGAATGGTGGTTAAACCTGCGAATCATTGACTGGTTAGCAGCGTGTATTCCTTGAGTTCTACTGCTTGACTCTGAACAAGATGCTCCATATTCCTGTTAGATTAAATAATACAAATATAACTTTTCTCTAAATTTAATATGAATGCTGAGAATGATAATTGAACCCTTATCAAGATAATTCACTAAAATTCTAATTTCTCTTTTGGCTCTTAATTACTTTTTTTCTCTCAATTTTATCAAATCTTAAGTTTTTATAACAAATTTTGTTAGAGACACTGTGCAATATAATACATTCTTATATATCTTAATCTCATTTTCTGTTTTGGCAAACTAATGTTAAGAATTTGAATTACTTTTCAATATACAAATTAAAGGCAGTCTAACTAGGTTTCACTTAGTTTTATAAGTTCATATTGCTTGAGAGTGAAAAGATTGTACAATTTTTTCCCAACTATGATCTCTCTAAATGAAACATATATTAAAAATCATAGAACAAAAATATTTATATTTCAATTAATGTAATGATAACTCATGAGTTAATCAAAACAGTGAGAAAAAAGTACGGATTTGAAACCTCCTATATCTAAATGATTCATTAATTCCTACCTAAAAATAAGAATTAGATGAGTATGTGAAAAATTTCCTTTAGAAAAATCTAATAATTTAACCATTATTTTGGGTAGTAATGTTTATTTCCTTTGATATATTTCTATTGTCTGGTACAACAAGAGCATATACAGGTAAAAAAAAGTGCAAGACAACAGACTTAAAGTAATGGACTTTAAACCAGAAGTGTATAAACAGAGTTTTAAACCTCCTCCACAAGGGGCCTTTCGCTCAGTACCAGAATTAACCAACTTTGTTGTACCTATGGACATAATATACATGGTTTAAAATCCGTGATGAAATGCTATAATGATTGTGAACAAATTTATCTGCTTGTAATATAATAAATTAACAGTTTCCAAGCATATACAAGTGCTGTGCTTCACAAGCTTGTTTGTTTGTTTGTTTTGAATTCCACGCAAAGCTAAACGAGGGCTATCTGCGCTGGCCTTCTCTAATTTAGCAGTGTAACACTAGAGGGAAGGCAACTAGTCATCAAAACCCACTGCCAGCTCTCGGGCTATTCTTTTACCAATGAATAGTGGGATTGACCGTCACATTATAATGCTCCAATGGCTGAAAGGGTGAGCATGTTTGTTGTGACAGGGATTCGAAACTGCGACCCACAGATTGTGAGTCGAGCGACCTAACCACCTGGCCATGCCGGGCCTTCACAAGCTTAGCATTTAGCATCATAAAATTTAATTTTCTGTACTGCAGATAAACTTCTGGCTGTTACACATAGCTCTGTAATAGATGCTGAGTTATGGTACTGAACTAATGCCCCTTGGATCATGATTTAAAATTCCTAATGAAATGACTTAGAAGATAAACAATCTAATATATTGTACTGTCATGATTACCATGTATTATACTAACATGAGAGTCATATCAAGAGGTGATTAATATGACATTAAAAAAAACAATAAATCTAATCTAGAGTTGTTTGTCAGTTATGAAGAGTTAATTACACTTTTTTTAAGAATCATTTTCCAGTGTTGTACTACCCTTGGAGCTACTTCCTCAGTAGCTCAATCCCATGGCTATGATTACCCATTACTAACCAACAAAGCATTTTCCACTTCAACAAGCATCTGTGAAAGGCAGCAAAGTGAATCTTAGACTACACATCTTGACAAAACATTCCACAAATCTCTTCCACTGTATACAAATGACAGCTTCCAAGGGGGGGGGGGGCAAACTTGACAAGTATGTGATCAAATAAGATTGTTGTGTTTCCCATTTCTTCAGCCATCTTTCTGGTGAAAGCAGTCGATATTTTCAAAGTGAGGCTATAAATGGCTTGAGGTGTTGTTTTGGAACCATTTGTTGTCCTAAACATTGTGCAGGAAGAATATTGAGTTCTCCTTTCTACAATATGTTCTGTCCTTTGGCTCTACATCATTCAACACTCTTGTTATAAGAATGTCCTTTCTCTTAAAGAGTTGTAGTATAATACCCTACCCCATAAGTCTGCCAGTGGCAACATTGCACTGCTGAATGATGAGTATTTACTTTAAACCATATATATATATATATATATTAAGTGTTAAAACATGTCACCCATGACATTACACCTACTTCTGTGATGACATGCCATCACATTAGTAAATACAAATCATTATTTTAACATGCAAATAAGCCTATTACAATGAAATGAAGTCTTTTACTCTAACTTATAAACCCCAAAAATTATACCTTTAAGTTACTTTTTATATCAAAATTTTTTTATCTAACAATAGTAACAATACCTAATGCTGTAAAATGTCTATTTTTTTTACAATATGCACATGGAGTTAGTATCAGTTCAAATCTTGTAAGCAATACATTAAATAGTATGGTTTAAAGACACACACAAATATGTATATAATATCCTTTTAAAAAAAATCTTACAAACAGCTTACCTCACTTAGTGTTTTGTCTTCAAACGAGGTAATATTTATAAACGGATCTTGTAAACTGTCTTTTAAAGCTTGCTTGATATCTTAATAAATTACAGAAAAAAAACTTATGAAGGATATGAACTAACAGAAACATTACTTTAAAAATTATTATTTCAATATCTTATTATTATTCTTGTACCAGTTGTTTCAAAGTCAAAACTCAATATATTTTAATATTTAAGAACTTAAAATTATTAATTTCAGTTAACTTTGTTTCATTAAATGATATAGCTACAAGAAAGCAATGTTTTACAAGTGTTTACAAAAAATGTCATTTCTATTTGATGATTATAATATTTATAATTGCTAGAAAAAAAAAGGTTGAAACCCTGGGGTACTTCAGGGCTCAGTCTTAGGGCCTTTGTTCTTTTTGATTTACATCAATGATATAGATGAAAGAATGGACGATAAATTACTTAAAACTGCAGATGATATTAAGGTCTTGTGTGTTGCTAGCTGTGAAGAGGATGCTGCTGAT